TAGGGCGTCAAACTATAAAGCCATAGCTTTCTCTCTGCAGCAGTAAATTCGAGGTGGCATGGACAAATTGCTGTGTGACCTTCAGGCTTTCATTTTTTAGTTTTGGCGTAGCCCCAACGTTGGCTGTGATACTGGTGACAGAACACGTGCATTTGGCTATAAATTATAAGCTGTGTATGTTAATTCGAGTCGCAAATCGCAGTTGTTCGGCACCACGTCCACCCGCCCCAGTGGTAATAGCATAATGGGAGTCCAGTCGAGTGAGGAAAATGACGGGAACAGGTGGCGAGTTCTCGCCTTCTGCTGCCATTAACGGAAATACCAAAACAATTACTTGTTGCTGCTCGCTCGTTCAGCGCTGTTATGTGTCTGTATTATAATTTATTATACCCCGTCGCTGGTAGCTCTCCCTTCTCATATTCCAGGGCTGCCATAGTTGTTTTGGAGGGATGCACGTATGAGAATTGTGTTCTGCAAATACGGAAATGGCTGCATGGCTTGTTTATGGTAGAATTTTGTAAACAAGAAAAAAAAAGGAGGGGGGGGGGGGCATTTTCATGTTGGAGATACTAATACTACTGTGTGCTTTACTTCAGCATCATATTCTATGTCGTATGTAACTGATAGCTGTCGTGCTGTTGTTCAAAAGTGGGACGAAGATAGAGTAGAAGTTTTTTTTTAATTGAACAGGATAAAAGGTGGTCGTAAGAGGAAAAGAGCCCATGCGATGTGCAGGAGTGAGACTGGAGGTCAGTTTGTTTGCTGTTGTTGAGAGGTGGGGGGGGGGGGCTACTGGACACCCCCAAAGAAACTTATATTGCAGAGTCGGTTTGCTGAACAGGCGTAAACAGAATTGAAAAGCCTTTGAAAAGACAACAAAGTGATCATTTGTAGTGGGAGATGAAGTAATTTGAAAGGGAAATGAAGAGGTCCCACCTCTCTTCCCCCTTCCCCGTCCTCCCCCACACCACGACCCCGAGCTATTTCCCCATGCTGAGCCTGTTGGTCAACACAGCTGTGCCAGCGGAAACCGTTGTATGAATAGGGATTGGAAAACCAAGGGTATTTGTATTAACGTGAAGGTTTTCGCGCCTCCTGAGAACCACAACGTGTGTGTTTTTGGGAAGGCACACGGTGGTTTTTTTGTGTGTGCGTGCGCGTGCATATGTATTTGTTTGCTTGTTCGCTGGCATGGAATTAGTGTGTTACGCGATAATGCAGAGTAGTCTGGTATAGCTCGTGGTGTGGTGTGAATGTCGTCTGTCGATTTGCGTGGGAGTGAACTTTGGATGTAGCGGTGGAGGGAAATGTGTGTAGTTTGTCTGTGAGAGGAACAGTGGGAAAAGAGAAGGTTATTGGAGAGAGCCATTGGTATTTCCTGCTCCTTTACCACCCATCTGTCTTCTGTGTGTCTGTCTTGTTTTTGTTGTGTGTTGTTGTTTGTTTGTTTGTTTTTTGTGTGTGTATGTGTTTTCCTCGACCGTTATCGTATCGATATGTTTCTATTTACTGTTACAAACAAGGAAAGAGAAAGTGAGAGGAGAAAGACGTGGTATGGGGGATTGGAAGCCGGCACTGATAAGTCCTACTTCTTTACTACGTCTCTGCTGTCTATGTCTGTGTATCTTGCTTTTCCCAACTCTCAACGGCCATAATCATGTAGATGTGCTTCTCTTTCACTGATAGGGAAAATGGGAAGGTGTGGAGGAGTAGCGGAGATAGGCGGCTGCGGGATGGGGAGGGCAAGAACACTGAGAGATTTACGAAGGCTGCTGCTGTAGCAGGTCTTACATGAGCCCCTGGTCTCAGACAGTCCCGCGCCGCTCTCTGTAAGCGAAGACCACGGTTTGGAGATACGGCTGGTGTGTCTTACCCAGGAGGAATTATCAAAATAATGCCTGGCAGCTATTTAGGGGTAATTCGATCTAATCCGCTCTGTAAAACCACTTTAAGCCTTTCATATGGTCGTGATATTTTCGTGGCCCAGTGCGTGGCGACTATAGCGAGGTTACATCTCAAGGCTCTGGTGCGAGAAGTGGTATGTACTGATGTGGCGTGGAGGTGTAAGATCTGCTATCTAGGTGAGAAACTGTCTGAGAGAGGCTCACTATCGTACATCAGAACCGTATTGCGATAGGCATGACTTGGTCTATCTTGGACTGGACTTTATGGTGTTACCAGAGCCGTACCGACACCCTGAGATCAGACGGAACTGATGAAAGTTTTACAAGAAATTGGGAGAGTGCGTGAGATAGAAAGATTTTTTGCTGGAAATAATTATATTTTGTAGTTTTCTTTCTATAGGGTTACAGGACACTTTCTCCGTTATGTAATGGAGGTCTGAAGTATTGGAGGGTATTTTGACTTACGTCGGTTAAACTCGTTTCTTTTAAAGTTGTTAGTTAAATAAAGTCAACTGCCGATCATGTGATGCTAATTATATTTGAAAAGGGACTAAGAAAGAAACTTTTAGGTGAAACATAACCATTGGCTATTATTACCAGATGGATGCAAGCGTCTGTCGCTCGTTTGTAAGACTAGCGTGTCCAGAAAACATTTTTATGGAGCGAGATAATAGCGTCGTGCTCACTACTTGAGAG